CAGCCACTGCACTCCAGTCTGGGTGACAGAGTGAGACTCCAACTCGAAAAAAAAAAAAATTGACCTTCCATATGGCCCAGCAATTCCTCTTCTGGGAATATACCCAGAGGAACTCAAATCACTCTGTAAAAAAGATACCTGCACACACGTTTATTGCAGCATTATCCACAATAACAAAAACATGAAACTAACCGTGCTGCCCATAGAGAGAGGACTGGATAAAGAAAATGTGGTGTATATACACGATGAAATATTAAGCAGCCATTAAGAAAAAAATTATGAACTTCACAGCACTTGGATAGACTTAGAGTCTATAGTACTCAGTGATCTATCACAGAAACAAAGAACAGAGTACCACATATTCTCACTCATAAACAGACCCTGAATACTATTAAGAAAGGAATTGGTGCCAGGCATGGTGGCTCACACCTGTAATCTCAGCACTTTGGGAGCTAGAGGCGAGAGGATTGCCTGAGTCCAGGGGTTTGAGATCAGCCTGGGCAGCTTGGCAAGACCTCATCTCTACAATAAATCAAAAAATTAGGGCAAGCCCTTCGGGTCCCCTCCCACTGTGGGTGTTTTTCTGTCCTCCTTTTCCCCCCACCCTGTCCCACCCTGCCCCTGTCCTCTTAATAGATCCTGTTTTCTAAAAAAAAAAAAAAAAAAAATTAGCCGGGTGTGGTGGTGTATGCCTGTGGTTCCCTTTACTTGGAAGGCTGAGATGGGAGGATGACCAGGGCCCAGCAGGTGTATGCTGGGGTGGCCAAGAGTGTGGCACTGCACTCCAACCTGGACAACAGAGTGAGACTCCTATTCAAAAAATAAAAATAATAATAAGGGATTGGCAGTAACAGGACACTGCCAGGGGAGGGAGGCGGGGGACACATTACATCAATAAGGGTACCTAAACTTTACCTGTACGATGACCACTTAAGTACCTAACCCTGAACCATACCCCACAGCTTTAAAAGAAAAAAAAAAGGTCAGGAGGCTATCGTTTGACCAAATGTGTCCAGGAGACATTGTCACTGCTCCACGCCTCAGTGTCTTCCTCTGTGGAGGGGAGACAAGACTCCCCACACGAGAGCTGCTGCCAAGACCCAATGGAAAACTCTGGGCACGTGGCCTTCCCAGTAAATGACAGGGACTTGCTTCGCAGGGATTTGAACTCAGATCTGGTGGAGTGTCCAAGCTGCCCCCTTGACCCCTGAGGGCCTGAGAGGACAGGGCTGCGGAAGATCAGGAAGGGAACGTGAACAGGAGCAGGGATGGGGGAATCCTAGCCAGCAAGATGAGGTTGGCCAGGCAGAAACGAGGGAACAAGCCGGGCACGGTGGCTCATGCCTGTAATCCCAGCACTCCGGGAGGCCGAGACCGAGGACTGTATGAG